GAATGAGGAGGCTTACCGCAGCCTTCGCTAGGAGGTTCGGAGAGCCGTGAGGCGCTGCAAGGATGGGTGGTGTTCGCAGGTTGCTGAGGAGATGGAGTCTGCCTCACTGGCCCGCGATCACAAATCTCTATTTAACTCCATCAAAAAGTAACCTGCAACGTCACACCTATTACCATCATTAGGGGGAAAAAACGGTGATCCAATCTCCGACCCCCAGGAACAGGTTTGCAGATTTGCTGAGCATTTCTGTGAGGTCCTGGGGGAGAGAAAATCCCTCAGCCAGGAAAACATCGTGGCACAAAGTGGGGATGACCCTGCTGAGGCTGCGGTGCCTCATATATTGGAAGAAGTCACCCCCTGTGAGTGGCTGGCTGAGGTGCCATCTGTTGAGAAAGTATTGAAGGCGATCCGGAGTCTGAGACCAGGAAAGGCACCGGGCAGCGAAATGCTGAGGGAGGGTGGTGTATGTGCACAGACTGCCCTATATGACATAACAACAGTCTGGACCACTGGACGGGTTCCGCAGGATTGGAAGGATGCTCTGGTAATCCCCCTCTTTAAGAAGGGGGACCGCACAGACTGTAACAACACAGGAGCATCTCACTCCTCAGTGTGCCAGGAAAGGTCCTGGCAAGGATTATTCAAGATCGCCTTGCCAGGCACGCTGAGGAGAGGCTTGCGGAGCCCCAATGCGGTTTCAGGAAAGGGCGGTCCTGCACAGATGCCATATTTTCTGTCCGTCTGCTACAGCAGAGGTATAGGAAATTCCAACAAGACCTACATCTCTGCTTTATTGACCTGGTCAAAGCCTATGATACCATCAGTAGGCCTGGGCTCTGGGTTGTTCTTCGTGCTTTTGGAGTCCCTGACCCTCTGCTCACGATCATTAAGGACCTTACCTGTACACCTTGGGGTGCGACAGGGATGTCCTCTGGCTCCCACATTATTTAACATCTATTTTGACCACGTAGTTCGTGAAGCCTTCAATAGCTGTACCGGGGGAATCTCCATTTGGTACAGATATAATGGGAGGCTGATCGATGTCCGGGTGCGGTCAAGGGATGGCTCCCTATTGCTTAACCATGTTATGTATGCCAATTATTTGGTAATAGCTGCTCATTCAGAGGAGGAGTTGGAGACGCTGCTGCTGAGACTGGAGTGTGCCACTATGAGATGGGGCCTTACCATCAGGCCCACCAAAACTAAGCACCTGCCTGGGTATTTTGTACCATTGGACACTCCACCCCCACAACTCCCAATCGGTGATGGGGCAGTTGTGGAGAGAGTGGAGAGTTTCCCATACCTGGGCAGTGTGCATATGACGGGCTGCAGTTTAACAGCAGAGGTCTCACTACAAATTAGTCGAGCGGCAATATATTTTCATCGGTTGCGTAACGTTGTGTGGAAGCTACCTGGTCTGTCGCTCCGCACTAAGCTTCAGGTATTCTCGGCCATGGTCATTCCCTCCCTTCTCTACGCTTGCGAAACGTTGGACCCCCCCAGGTGGAACATCTTCGCCGGTTAGAAACATTTAGGCTAACCTGCCTACGATCCATCCTGGGTTTAACCAGGCTGGATTGTGTGAGGCGCTCACAAATCCTTGAAAGATCTGGACAAGGTCCCATCGGTGAGCTCTTCCGGCAGGCAAGGCTGCGTTGGCTGGGTCATGTAGCCCGCATGCCCAGCCACCGCATGCCTAAACAGCTTTGTTCGGCCGGATCGAGGGGTCTAAACGGGCGCAGCACGGGCTAGAGAAGAGATGGAGTGATGTGGTACGGGAGGACGTGGAGCTGAGTGGACTTGCCGATGACTGGTACCAGCGGTCAAGTTCGGCCTCTGTGGAGGAGGCTCGTGAAGGACGCTACTGGGCAGTTGGAGGCAGTCGCCCTCCAACAACAACGGAGGGCGGATGAGCGACGCTCACAACAACGAGCGGAGCGCCGGGTGGCTAAAGCACAGCAGATTGGCACAGTAGGGTGCACAGGTGGTGCATCAGCCAGTCATCTCAGTCATCTTCGTCTGCCGACCCGTGGCACTTGGGTCTGCCCCGTGTCCTCCTGCCAATGGGCGTTCGACACTTCACGTGGCCTCAAGGTGCACATGGCCTGGCACAAGCGTCGTGGTGACGTCACTGCCACTTAGTGGCGAATGGTGGTTGTTGTTGTTGTTCGCGTGTGGGGAGCGGTGGCTTTGCGCTACGAACTCTGTGGCACGGGTTCGATTCCCGCTCACGGCCAACACCAGTGACGACTATCTTGACCGGCCGTGGGCCTCCCCTAGGTCGACTCGGCCTCAAATGAATACCTGATGCGGTGTGTAAACATCGCCACTAGGGAGACAAAGGCGGCCGGGCGTTGTGCTGGCCACCCACCCCCCTCGTGTGCCGTGCCGGCCATTATAGGTACTCGTGAATAGCACTTGCCCCGACAGTATGTTAAGGCTTCATGGGGGATCTTTGTCTTTGCACACCTTTGTGCACCTCGGGCAGCTGTTGCAGGTAGGTGGGGATAAAGATGATGAAATTAAGAGGGGACGATGAGAGAGGGGTGGAGTGAATATGGAATAATGAACTTATTTGTAAAAACGAAATACCATTTCCATTCTGCCAACCCAGTAAAGAATGACAACGTTGGTTTAACAACGTTGAACGCTGCGGTGGCGAGATGTTAACTACCTCGTCTGGTATACAGGAGGTCGTGGGTTTGATCCCGACCCTGACGCCTGCTGTATTTTTGGAGTTTGCATCTCTCTCTCCCCGTGGTCGTGTGGATTTTTCCTCCAGGTCCGACGGGTTCATTCCTCCACATTTAGAATAAACGGTGAGTTTAGAGTATTTGGCTGCAAGTAATTTCCACGTGATGAGCCGCTTTGTTGAGATGTCATTTGTTGACCAGGTCACTTCTAAAAAGAGCGATACAGCTTAGTATGGTACCTCAACGCCCACGGGAGTTTTCGCAATCTCTTTGCGGTGATCCACCACCAACACCTCGCTAATGCCTCCGGCAATGCTCGGTTACAGGCAACCACGTGCAACAGCGTAGCCACCACTGCCCTTTGTCAATCCACTTGCTGGATGAAGGCCTCCCAAGCCCCTGTTGGGTTATTTGCCGGTCAGTTAGGGGGATGGGGAGGGCGGTCGGTGAGTGTGTACTGCGTGTCATTTGAAAAATGTGCGACTGTCAAAAAAAAAGGCAGGCGTGTTTTCTCCCCGCTGCACACGGCAAACCTGCAGAACAATCGGACAGCCCCAAGGTTTGTTGGGTTCACGGCGCTCAACGCATTCATGCATTAACCGCCGAAGCACTGTTCTCCCAAGTTGGTGTTTAACATTGCACAATTTGAGACTTGCAATGAATGGATCTTTTTCACGACCCGAGTGCAGGGCCGCCAAAGGTGTCTAACGCTTGCACGAGAGCAAAGTGGCGATTGCATCTCGGCACTCTTCGGGAGCAGGGCCGCGGCGACGCCGCTACGCATGCGCTTTGCGTGTTTGTCTGCCGGCGATTACTTGGATGTATCGTATTAATTCTCAGCCAAAACACGACCAAAGAAATAACAAGATAGCTCGCTGACTGCTCAGCCACACCGGGAGAGCGGGCGGGGTGGGGGGGGGTGGAAGGAAAGTTTGAGCTGGCCGAACTCTCGCAAATTGAGTCACCGGAGACGGAGTCGAGTTGACCCACGGCCAAATTAATCCGGCTGATGGACTTTTTTTTTGTTCCTGGGCGAGGAGCGATGATGGCACGCCGCTGCCCCGCGCTGCCTTGGGGATTTTCCGCCGCCCCCCCCCCACCGCCCACCTTTTTGGTTCTTCCGGGTTCTCGTCGCCGCGTTTTGCTCGAGTGCAGCACCTTAATTTGGCGGCGTGCTCGAGAGAAAGGCCGGAGAGTTTCAAGAGAGACTCTTTTCAAACGGCGGCGTGACAGCGCTACCATCGCTGGCATGCCCCCCCCCCCCACCTAGTGCAAGGGGTGAAATGTAACCATCCAACACCGTCCACCACCTGTCCAATAATCCCCCCCCCCCCACCACCATCACCACCATAGCCCGGTGCCGTGACCCACCCCCCCCCCCTCTGGCCTCTCTATGGTCCTCTCAGTGCAGCTGCACCGCCTTCGAACTCAGTAGCTGTTAAGGTCAACCACGTGTTTTATTTTTTCCCTTCCTCTCAAGTAAGGCGGCGGAGAAACTGCGGAACCTCCGATGACCGTGCCGTGCTTTCACAGCGGCCTCGCGATGGGAACCCACCTGTCCTGGTTGGGTTTGCCCAGGATCGCCCTCTTGTTCATTTGGCTGTCTTTGGAAATCTGCTGCTGTCAGCAAATGGCGATTGTTTTTTTTGCTTGCGTATTGCACAGAGGCCGTGTTGTTTTGACACCTCTTTGTGTTGTTGTTGTAGTTATTGCTGTTTGAAGCATGGTTTTTTTTTCCAGCCTGTACTATTATTATGTTAATAAACGGATTATTTAGTGATGCTGCTGCTGCTGCTGTGTTGACAGTGGTGCACGATGACAATTAACCAAAAACAAACACTCGATACGTTCTTCAATACGTCTCTGTGTGTGTGTGTTGTCTTAAAAGGAAAAATATATAACAGACGACGTTTCGGGCAATGGCCCTACTTCATGTCATGTAATACAATTTAATATTATCACGCGCTATGAAGACGGGACATTGTGCCCATCGGAGTGTATGGGGGAAGGACAACAAACGAAACGCAACAAGCAGTGGTAAAGAAATTATAAATGAGTTTGTAAATCTAGATAATGTAATAGTGCGTTCCAGATGGCTGCAGAAGTGCATCTGAAAGTGCGCAACGCGGTGACTGTCATAAGCCGCCGACGTCGCTGCTGTGAAGATGACCAGAGTTTGCACGATGATGATTTATGCTCCACGGCAAGATCGGCAAAGGTGTCGTGATTCACTCGCGGCACATGATCTTGTGCGCGCATGACGAGCGCCGCGTTTTTTAGACATGCAACTCCGTTTTCCGCCCACAGATGTCTTGCGTGAGCCTGCTCTGGGCATGGGGCCTGTGTATGGTGCTGGTCAGCCTGGCGCCCGCTGCGTGGCCTGGCCTCGGCACTCAAGCGCTCCATCCGGACGCTCCCACCTCGCCTGGCCCTCGGCCGCCTGGCGCCCGCCCATGCCTGGCGCCAGTCTGCCCACGGTGGAAAACGACGACGACGACGATGATGACACCGCCGAAGCGCTCGCCGGGGCTCGCCACGTTGGACTTCCCCGGCTGGAGCGTGAACGCCGCCGAGCAGCGCCCTGGCGGCGCAGTGGACGCCGGAGCCACGGGGCGTCTCCTCGGATCCAAAGGTGCTGTGGCGGCGGCGGCGGTGGCAGAAAGCGGCGCCGCTAACCGGATGGCGTTCCCCACCGGCCCAGTTCACAGCAACGCTGTGCACCGGTGGCCAGCAGCGCGATGGACGGTGGCACCGGCGGTGGCGGCGGTGTTGTTACGTGGGTCGGGCAGCGAGAGTGTGAACGGGCGGCGGACGCGGTCGGTCGCTCTGCCGGTGTTGCCGCAGGCATGGCGGGATTCTCCGGGTGCCATCATTTCCAAAGTGCCATCGACGGTGACAGCAACCGCAGCGGCGATAGCGCCGCACCGGACGACAATCGCACGGCGGTGGCCGGAGCAGCGGCAGCGGCGTCGTCGTCGCCGACTGACTCGGCGGGGGACCTCGGCCGACCGGTCCAAACCTCGGCCGCCCCGGAAGGCCCCGACGGAGGCCCCAGAATACTTGGGAGCCGGCGGTGGCTGGAGGGGCGGCATCGGCGAAGCCGAAACGACGACGTACAACGGCACGGTGGAGTGGGGCCCCACGGCTGCGGACGAGGACTTGTCTTCGCTCGAGGAAGCGGAGGATTTGCTGAGCCCGGTCGGCGGGATGGCGGCGGCGGCGGCGGCGTCTGCGCCGGCGGCGACGGCGACGACGACGACGGAGACCAGGGACAGACGTGGGGGCGACGATGGCAGGAAGGTGAACGAGCACGGCGAGAGCGAGGAGGAGGCGGGGACGAGAGGAGACGGCGATGGCGATGGCAGACGGGGAGAAGAGACGACGTCACCGGTGCGGATCCGCACGCCGGCGAACGTGGACTGGGGGCGGGGCAAGGACATTGCCGTGGACCGGACGCCTGGCGGAGCGGCACGCTCCAGCGGTGAGAGCACCACGTCCACAGAGTAACCGTGATGGGTCGGTGTCGATCGGTCGAGTAAAAAAAAGCATTCGGATCCAGGAAGGGGGCGAGGGGGCGGGCTGGGGGCCGTTGCCCAAGACTAACGTTTTGGGCAATGATCCCTTTTCTTTTTCTCATGTAGCTTTTGTAAATGTCGTGGGTTTACTCTCCAATGGACAACCGGTGTGCTGAACTCGTAACTAATTGGCATGTTTGGTTTACGTGACAAACCTTACTAATTGGTTGTGTCGGGTGGTGGCAGGTTAAATGACGCATTTATTTTGACGCGATCTCACCCAACAACCTCCATTACAAATTTTCCTTTGTCATAGTGCACGTCAATAATGGCAGTGTTGTTGACGAATGTGTGTCGGAGTCTTTTTTGTGCGCTCTTATGGTTATTAGGCTTTTGCTAGTGTGGCACCCAAGCTATGGAACGCCTTGCCACTTGAAATGCGGCAATCAGAGTAGGTAGATATATTTCAGTCTGCTTTGGCCTTCCCTCTTTAGTTTGGTCGGTTGCCCCTAGTTCTGTTTTGGTTTCCTGCTTTTCATGCATTGCGCATTCGGATCCTAGGATGGCATGCGCAATTATACACTTGAATGATTATTCTAAACGAGTTCGGCGAAGGCTCGGATCCGATCACCAGATTCTCAATCGAGAAGCTCCCAAGCTCGGCGCAGCGCCCTCCGAGCCACTCCCAGTCGCCACGATCTCTCTACGCTCCTCCCCCGTCCGCTATGCACGGCCGTGCGCTGCCGCCGGCCTCGATGGCACCCGTCGCATATTCCCGAGACCCGCAGCGATCCACACGCTGTTCTCGTTGGCAAAGCGACGCCGCCAAACCTCACCATCTCGCAACCACTTTTTTTGGGGGGGGGGGAAATTGTGAACGACATTTATATATTCATTTGGGAAGGGGGGGGGGTGGCGGGGGTTGCAAAACGTAAACGCTTATTTTTCGCGACGAACATTTCAGCATTTTCAAGCGAGTGTAATTATTTCTACCTCAATCACCCTCACCACCCCCGCCCGCTCCCTATCCCCCCCGCTCTCATCCACTCTCTGCTGTCATTTGCGCGCGGCTCTCGCGTCAACTTCCAAACGACCCAGAAGCACCGCCGCTTAATAGTTGCGCCCGCTTCCCACTCCTCGATCAACAAATCTGCCGAGCTGTTATTAATAAGTCATTGAACAATCGTGAGCGTATGTGGCGAGCTTTTATTGCTCATTAATAATGCATTCCCGGAGCTCCGAGTCCCCCCCCCACCCCATCAAGGTGAGATATTAATCCTCAGAATGCATCTCGACAACACCGTTGGCTGTGCATATGTATGCATTCATGTAGAACGTCACCCACGTGGCCGCCCGTAGCCAACCGTGCTATCGGAGGGTGCGGTGCCGCAGTGCGCTTCGTCATCCGCTTCCTTTTCATTCGTTCGTTCATTCACGGGGATGGCGGCGTTTGCCAGAGGCCCTGCGTCACGGCCTCACCGAGCACCGGCAACGCTTCCCACATGGGGGGGGGAGGGGGAGATTTGCTCACGGCAGAGGGCGATGCTTTTGTTGCGCACGCGACACCACTGGAGCCGTGCGCAAGCAGAGTAAATGACCCCACTCTGTACGTCCATGGAGGGGGGGGGGGGGGACGCGTTTCTGAAAGTTGCGGCGACGAATTTCGAAACGACGTATTACATCGAGGCGATTTATGGGGCAGTAGTGGGTGGTGGAGGGAGGACCGGCTGAGAGGCGATGGATAACGAGAAAGGACGGATGACGACGCCATCAGTGACGTGAGCATATGTGGGTTGAGGCGACAGCAAATCGGGGTTTACGGCGTTTATAATCGAGTGATGACGTATTTGTGAAACGACGTACACTGCAATCGTTCAGCTATGGGATGTTTGGGCAAATACCACACCAGTTATATCGTGTGTGGTTTTATATATTTATTCTTATCTCTGGGAGGAAACTGCAGAAGCCGGAGGAAACTCATGTTGAACAGGGGGAGAAACATGTAAATTCCATGCAGAAAGGGCACTCGGACCAGGGATCGAACCACAGCCCTTCTTGCTGACACCTGTAAATCAAACAAAATTCACCGACGCGCCACGTTGTAACTCATCCGCAGAGAGCGCACCGATCACGGGCATTGTGAACTGTGATCATAACGGAGAGTGCAACGATCACGGGCATTGGGAACTGTGATCATAACAGAGTGCACCGATCATGGGCATTGTGAACTGTGATCATAACGGAGAGCGCACCGATCACGGGCATTGTGAACTGTGATCATAACGGAGGGCGCACATGTGAAGGTTACTTGGTTTGTAACGCAGACGATGGTCCCGTTTAGTAGCCAAGTTACCTGGCTATTTTACATAGGGACCCATAGAGATACCATAGAATGTGAGTGTTGAGTGTGTTTGTTACGTGGACGATGGTCCCGTTGAGTATGCAGTTGCCCCGCTGTTCTACGTGGGAGATCTGTCTATGGTAGTGCTGCATGAGCACAGCAGAAGGTGTAGTGGTGAGGAAAACGAAACGACCCCCCCAAAAACCCCACCAACAGTGCCTAGAACGAGTAACAGGGTCCTTGAAGGAACAGTGCACGGCTAACGTAAGCACCCTGGTGTTGGTTCAAGCCATGACATCCGAGGGTGGCCCTTAAGGTGGTGGCAGTGGAGGCGGTAGTGGAGGTGGTTGCGGTGGAGGCTGTATGGGGGTGGTGACGGTGGTGCCGGTGGTTGCGGTGGTGGTGATGGAGCCGCTGGTTGTGGTGGTGGAGCCGGTGGTTGCAGGGGTGGTGGTGGTGGCAGTTGCGGTGGTTGTGGTGGAGCCAGCGGTTGCGGTGGTGGTGGTTGTGGTGGTGGCGGTGGTTGTGGTGGTTGTGGTGGAGCCGGTGGTTGCGGTGGTGGAGCCGGTGGTTGCGGTGGTAGTAATTGTGGTTGTGGTGGTGGAGGCGGTGGTGGCGGTGGAGGTGGTGGTGGCAGTGGAGGCGGTGGTTGCGGTGGTTGCAGTGGTGGTGGCGGTAGTGGCGATGGAGGTGGTCGTAGTGATGGAGCCGGTGGTTGTCTTGGCGGTGGTGGTGGAGCTGGTGGTTGGTCTGGCAAAACAACCCCCTACCTCCTCGCGGTGCCGGACGGGCAACTCTGTCGTGGACAGTGCTGTGGGGGGAGATCCAATTTTGATTGGCTCCTCCCCTCATGGCATATGTGTCCACCACAGGGGCTAAACGGAGGCTCTGGAAGGGTGCGAGGGGCTGGTAACCCCTCCACCTTAAATTAATTACCACGAAACCACGAATTAAACTGAAATATGTAACTAATAAGCTTGTGCCGGAGGCCCCGGGGGGGCAGGCGTCTATGACGTCGCCTGGCCAAACCCCAATTGGCGGAGCCAGGAGATTGAATACCTACCCTCGGGGCTACTCCAGAAACAACGAAAAGCCACTACGGGTGGCCACGTGGAATGTTCGAACGCTCACTGCAGAGGAGAGGCTGCCACTCCTCGGTCGGGAGCTGGACCGGTACCGCCTGGATCTATGTGGCATTCAGGAGGTCCGGTGGACCTGCTCTGGCTCCTGCCACCATGAGGGGTGGACAGTCCTCTACTCGGGGCAGCAGACTGCCAAACAACAGGGTGTGGGTCTTCTTTTGAACAAAAGAATGAAGGGGGCGTGGGAGCGTGGCGGTGAGGTGTGGGAAGCTGTAAGCCCCAGGCTACTTTGGGCTCGCCTTCCCATCAACCGGAGGCGAGGAATGGTGGTCGTGGTTACTTATGCCCCCACCGAAGATGAACATCCGTGGAGGGATGCAGGCAAAGCCGATGAGTCAGATGCCTTCTACGACCTCCTGTCACAGGTGCTGGCTAAAGTGGCCCCTCGGGATAGAGTCATCATGTTGGGTGACTTCAATGCCCGAGTTGGTCATGATACTGGCACCTGGTCTGGAGTGATTGGAGGGCATGGGCCAGATCAGCTCAATAACAACGGTAGGAGGCTGCTAGATTTTTGTGCAGCCCATGGGCTTGTAATTACCAACACGCTGTTCCGGCATCGGCGCATCCACACAACATCATGGATGCATGCCGGGTCCAAGCAAGAACATCTGCTGGACTACATAGTGACGGACCAGCGAATGCGAGCCCATGTCCTTGACACCAGGACCTACCGTGGAGCTGATCTGCCCTCTGACCATCGACTAGTCATCTTTAAGATGCGCCTGCCATTCTTCCACTCCGGTGGTGGGTGTACACCCAGGACCCCATTCCAACCTAAAGTGGCCTGGTCTCAGTTATCTGATGAAAGTTGCAAGCGAGAATTTCATCATCGCTTGCGGCTGGGATTGGCATCGTCCCCGACTCCTCCTGATGTCGAGGGTAAATGGGCGAGGTTTAGGACTGTGACTCATGCAGCTGCAATGGCTGCTTTGGGTACGCGGTCCAGACCTCCCCAGAGACCCTGGCTGACAGAGGAGGTGGTCAGGATGGTTGAGAAAAAGCGACTGGCCCATTGTCATCGGCTACAGAATCCCACGTCAGAGAATGAGGAGGCTTACCGCAGCCTTCGCTTGGAGGTTCGGAGAGCCGTGAGGCGCTGCAAGGATGGGTGGTGGTCGCGGGTTGCTGAGGAGATGGAGTCTGCCTCAGTGGCCCGTGATCACAAATCTCTATTTAACTCCATCAAAAAAGTAACCTGCAGCGCCACACCCATTACCATCATTAGGGGAAAAAACGGTGATCCAATCTCCGACCCCCAGGAACAGGTTCGCAGATTTGCTGAGCATTTCTGTGAGGTCCTGGTGGAGGGAAAATCCCTCAGCCAGGAAAACATCGTGGCACAAAGTGAGGATGACCCTGCTGAGGCTGCGGTGCCTCAAATATTGGAAGAAGTCACCCCCTGTGAGTGACTGGCTGAGGTGCCATCTGCTGAGGAAGTATTGAAGGCGATCCGGAGTCTGAGACCAGGAAAGGCAGCGGG